TACCCTGAAAACTTTAGATGCGATGCAGTAATGCGTTTCGGTTTGAAGGGTGGTACAACCGCTATACTGTATAATTGACATCTAGATCTTATGTCTCAAGAGGATGATGGTGTTCAAGTTATAATATTTATTGGCTCCATTGGTCACATAGCCCCAGATGGTACATGAGTTTGAACAGTAATCATTTCATAAAAAGCGATACTCTCACAATTTTTAAGATTATAAATTTGTTTTTTTTTTGAGTTATTCTTAACTACTGCTAATACTGTAAGCACGCCTTAAGTCCGATCATCGTTCTCGCGATGAAGGGCTCGGCGAGTAAATTAACCCACAGACACAGCCCACTGAGTTTCTCGCCGGATCTTCTCAGTGGGTCGCGTTTCCGATCCGGTGGTAGATTCTGCGAAGTACGGCTCTTGCTAGGGTTCGTGTTAGCAAAATCGTCAGGTTTGAGCCCCGTGACGCTGACATGGTCTCTCTAAGCCATCAGCTTAGGAAGGAAAAAAAACGCTTTAAAAATATGTCAACGCTAAAAATAGAAAAGCAGCTTTATTTCTTATCTTTAAAAACTAGCAAGTGAAATAACGGTAAAGTCACTATGATTGCGACATACATAAACAGGGCTCATGTCTCACACCGGTTTAATATCATACCTTGCAACGGTCGATAACTTGCCGACGACTCTGGCCCCCGTACCTGAAGCACGGGACTGGAAATTGGAATCCGTAACTCAACAAGTAGGTATTAGGGGAAGGAAAACTTCGCGGGCTCGCCATCTGTAGGCCTTATCTATGGCTATAAATATCGTACGGAACCCCGGAACAAGTACGAATTATGGTTCCGAAGGTACCTTTCGTCCTCGCGTTGTAATGGATAATTCATGCACCCTCCGTCATCGCTTGTTTCATAATTTTACGGACGATTTTTTGGAATAATTATAACCGAGTCCGTGACTTTGTTTCACTAAAATAAAGGTACCAGTAACTTATATTATGGAACGTAGCAGTCACCAGAAAATAGCTCTTTCGTATTTTTTTTATTCTTTTTTCTTACTTATTCCAGCAACACACTGACTTAGTTATTTTGACTAAAACTAAATGGATCTTCAAATGTCAGAATTATTTTCTTTTAAAGCTAAAATATAAAATAAAATTTCAGATAAAACGAAAGATAGTAAGTATATTTCTGATATTTTCTTTATTTGATCACAGCGTACGTGTAACGGTAAAATTATGTTTTCATCAAGCACTTTAGCTTAACCTCCAAGGGATCCGTGCTAAGGAAACTCAAACATTTCACCATAACGAACACAAATTGTTCTGACCCAAATACTTTTGACTATAAATAATAATAAAAACAATTGCTGATCTCATACGGGGATCCTAAATATCATTAGCGTCAGAGCACGTCGGCTTTCATTTGTTTTTGCTGTCACTCCAAAACGACGTTTCTCACATCTCGTTCAATTTTTCTCTGTCATGCTGCCTCTTGACTCGGGGACACGACCGAGGGCTCTTTACTCCGAAATTGTTCCGCAGGGGAGCTGATTAATAAGGAAAATAAAAAATTCGCAAAACGCCGCCGCCGCGAGGGAGGCATCATTGAACAGAGTCACGTATTCGTGTGTGAATTGCATTGAAATTTTGATTTCTCTCTTCCGTTGTGAGTATGCAAATTGATTGCTTGTTGTGGGGATGTATGTGGATTGTTTTGACAGAGTTTTAGTCTGCCTCTGATGTATTAGAAATGGGAACGATCTGGAGTACGAATGTAAAAGCTTTGATGTAAATCATTTTCGCCTTTGAATACTAATATTTGCTTTCAATGTTTGTATTCAATCTGAGTCAAGAATGGTATGTATAAGCTTGGTGTTTGAACAATTTGACAAGAGGAATCAGCCACCTGGCGTGAAATGCAATCAAGCTTAATTATTGCGGGTATTAATAACAAGGGTGCACTCGGGTAGTACGAAACCAGTTGCCATGGCAACGCCCTACGTCGAACGAAGCCTGCGACCAACGCCTACCCGCTCAAATACGTGTTTACTTATTTACGACCTACAGTTATTACTGCTTTGATAGTGACTGCACTTTTGGTTCCATAATACAAGATACAATGCAGAACAAGAATAATATTATAGTTGTAGTAAATTTCGCGAGACCAGTGTGGCGTGTTTAAATTGCATACAATAATAATGTCATTAATATCTATATAATATATTAATACGTGAAGCAAAAACTTTGTATCCCTTTTTACGATAATTGCGCGGACGGAGGAGTATGAAATTTTCCACACTCATAGAGAATATAGAGAAGAAGTGCACAATGTTAATATTTTTTATAAAATAATGCATAAAAGATACATTAAATCAATAAAGAAAACATTACACACACTACATACCATGTATTTGACGCACACACGCATGCATACTATTTTATTGTCAAACTTTTGTTCTTGACGTCAAATTGAGAATAGATTAAATATTGTTTGTCTTTGTTAATATTTTTTATAGTATAGTCTTGGCGAAATTTGTGATTATAGAAGTATAAAATACAATCATAATAGTGTACAAACTTACAATTCCAATTAATTATAGTCGAATTTCGACTAATGCGAGACCGCTAGTACAAATAAGTACCTGTTATTTATTTCAAACTAAAATCTACAGTTCGCTATTAAAATTATAGCGATTACACAGATAAAGTAATCTTTAGATTGTATATATTAAATGTTTCTACTTATAGGTGTATCAGTGATGGTGGTCCAAGCTCGCCACGTGACGAATGACAGGCAGATTAATGTAATTACGTGCATGTCTGACATGAGCCGGTTAACACCAAACTGTCAGTTCGAGAATGCCAATGTAATTCCTTGGACGCGTAAAAAGGAGTTCTAGAGTCGTATTAATTGTAATCGTGACTTCTACTATGAAACGTTTTGTGATTTGCTTGTAAGATTGATATTTTTTTTTGTTTTTTTGGAACGAAGTTCCTTATTGGACTATGCGGAGGGGTACCCTAACCGGGGAAAAACGTCCGTAACGTAAGATTTTTATTAGTGATGCACACAGTGTACGACTTAACTATGTAACAACTTGTAATAACGTAGAAATTAGTAATGCACACAGTGTAAAAATGACATATTTTTTATCATTCATTGACCACGATCTCAGAGCGTTCGTTTGCGCAATACACTAACTCTTATGCAAACAACCGTGAATGAAATGCACCACAATAAGTTCGCACGTTACCGAATGACCGTGGGTTGTTGCGAAACCTCCAGTTTTATTTTCTTTTTAACTCGAATAGAACTTAAAATTATTATTTTTATAATAAGGAACTTCGTTCCTATCGGGTGTCCCACGACACCACACAACTTTTTTTAAAGTACATCACTGGTTTGTATGCATTTAAAAAAAGTGGAAATTTAATAAAAGTAAGAGAGGCCACCTCAGAACAACTTGGCTTCGCTCGGTGGAGCAGGACTTAGGTGTCTTGGGCATGACGTGGGAGGAGCTAGAACAGACTACCCAAGACCGATGTAAATGGAAGAATTTGATTCGAGCCCTACACCCCAGCAGAGGGTAATAGGAAAGAATGATGATGACGATGATAGCAAACCCGAAATATATTGACATTTTTTTAGTGCAAGAAACGTCACTGACATGACCACGAAAGTGTTTTGTTTTACACGTTGTTATTAAGCTTTGAATTTGACTGGAATACGAAAGGCTATCGAATAAAACTCTCTTTCAATGTACAGAGATGTATAAAAATATCGAAATGTTTTCTAAGCGCTATGACATGTAGTAATTCTTCAAAAAATGTTTTAAATGATGCGCATTTCTCAGCTGTACTCTTCTTGCCATTATAGAAAACTACGATCATCGGTGATTATTCACCATCCGATGGGCCGCGTACTTGTGTCTAATTTAAATCAATAAAAAAGCTAAAAAAGTGCGTGCATTTAAATAAGCATTAAAAAACTGAACTTAAAAATGTTAAGTTACGAAGCATGCTTACAAAAATACAAGTTTATAGGTCCACTTGTAATCAATATTAGCAGGATGGAACTATAAAAAGAAGTTTTAAAAATAAAACAATATTTTATGGTCATGATTCGATGAACAGTGCTCTAAATAAGTAAACATTTTTTTATTTCATTCATGTCAGTTTAAATTAATTTCCAAATAGGTTCATCTAATGTAAATGGATAACATTTTTAAATCAAGCAGATGTCAACATTATTGAGGTAATAAGATCTAATTATAATAAAATTTGTAGCTTCTATGATTCAGAACTGTGAATTTCAAAAATGTATTATTACAACGATTAAAATATATTTAAGATGTGAGTCATCGTAACGTCAGTATTGTTTATGAAGTAAAAAGTCAAACGATTAATTAACGCGATTTAAAAGCCATTCAGACGTTAATGGCCAGTACAGATTATAATTCTACAGATATAACTTTATGTATCAAACAATTAATCCTTTGCACACCGCTATGTGTAATAAAATATGTCGTTAAGACTCTTGAAATATTTTGAATTGGTTGTCTTCATATTTTATATTAATTTGAAGACGAATGCGGTGTATTTCAGTTTTAAAGGTTTTTGTGATAACGTTAATATTAAAAGCTTAAACTGTGAAGAATTATCTTTGAAATCAGGGAGCCGCTCTGGTACGTACCATCACCCTGCCTATTTCTATCGTGAAGCAGTAATGCGTTTCAGTTTGAAGGGTGAAGCAGCTGTTGTACTGTAAAAACTGAGACCTTAGAACTCATGTCTCGAGGTGGGCGGCGGTGTTTATCTTGTAGATGTCTATGGGCTCCAGTAACCACTTAACACTAGGTGGGCTGTGAGCTCGTCCACACATCTAAACAATAAAATATATATATAATAGTTATTAGATATGAATATTCATTTTATAGGGGTAAATAAAATTTTACACTTTTGTTTAGTAACAAAATAAAACAATTTTCAAATTTCGTACCGGTTTTGCTATCATTTCAATTCGTTCAATGTTTTTTTTTTATACAGAAACAAAGTTCAATTGAAACGCGCTTCCGTCTTTTTATTAATATTCTTCAAAACTACACAATATCTTTAGTTACAAATGGCAATTTCTTCGTAAAAGAACTTAACTAGAACTGTGATTGATGATAAAATTGGTTCCTTTTTTTTTTATTAAATTCTACATAATAAATACGCCAGATAATAAAATTGTATAAGGTTATCAAACATTTAAAATATTTACAAAAACATAAATACGATATTACGCTATATCACAGTCTCTAGAGAAAGATGAGAAACCTAAAACTAAGTTTCGATATAATATGTATGCAGTCTATTCGTAACATTTGACTAAAAATCTAATTCAGAATCATCTCATGAGTAGTACCCTTAAGCAAAAATGTATTACAAATTTAAATAATTTCAACTATATCTTTGACAGAAAATTTTAATGTAAAGATATTGTTAAAATGTTATATTTGAGAAATTAGAACACCGTCGATTAACATATCTTGTGAATAATATACAATATGTACATTATATCAAACATATACTTATAAATAGTATTGCTTATTTTACTTGCTAGTGATAAGGTTTTTCTATACTAATATTATAAAGAGGAAAGATTTGTTTGTTTGTTTGTTTCGAATAGGCTCCGAAACTACTGGATCGATTTGAAAAATTCTTTTTCCATTAGAAGCCGACATTGTCCCTGACGAACATAGGCTACTTTTTTTAAATTTTTTTTTTTTGGTTTCATGTGTGTTTTAATGTTTCCGAAGCGAAGCGAGGGCGGGTCGCTAGTATTTAAATAATTAGCTTCGGTACGTATGTCCGGAACAACCCGATGTCCCTGAGTGATTTGTAAATGCATTCATATCTCTATATGGAGACTCCCTGTAACAGTAAACTACATTAAAGACTATGCGAAAATTTGTTTTATTGAAATCAAATGTTTTATCGAATTTATTTATTGCTTTAATGGGTGGACGAGCTCACGGCCCACCTGGTGTTAAGTGGCTACCGGAGCCCATAGACATCTTCAAGATAAACACCGCCGCCCACCTCGAGACATGAGTTCTAAAGTTTAAATTTTTACAGTACAACGGCTGCTCCACCCTTTAAACCGAAACGCATTACTGCTTCACGAGAGAAATAGGCAGAGTGATGGTACCCACCCACGCGGACTCACAAGAGGTCCTACCACCAGTAAAAAAATCTTGACTCTTGCCTTCCACATATTTATATTATATATTATCGTAATGGAGAATATATTAGATTATCTTACCTTTCATAGGGCGGCGGAGGCAGTATATCGCATAAATTCATCCTACAATTTTGTTCACTTCTATCTGCACTATTGTATCTAAGTTCTTGACCTATTTGCCTAAAACAATTTTCTCCATTATATCTAGGCTCTGAGTTTGTATTCCTGAAACTGTTGTCTCGGCCCAACCAATTCCATTGGGGATAATCGTATTCAACATCCGCCGTGGTCCACTCTTTGTTGCCTCCGTGATGACTAGATGATCTCGAGTGATTAGTTTTGCACGAAGGACAGTCTTCTATTGACATGTCTTGGTCTTCATTGCATTTTGTCATGTCACTATAATCTTTTGTTAAAGTGGAACTACTACTCCTGCAGCATGTAGAGCACTCTTCATTTGAATATTGATTACTTTCTCCGTAAGACCTAATCATACTATTATCATAGGAACCTGGGCTAATGGCGCACTTCATACAAGAATCTTCCGCGTCTGTGTTATCCTATGGTGAATATGAGACATATTAATGAAAACAGATTATTAAGTGCAAATGATTGGTTCAGATCTTACAAAACTTACTTGATAATTTAGTTCTGTGTAAATGGCACAAGATGCGTATGGCTGTGGTTGGAGTCTTTGTTGTTCATCTTCGCACATTGGATTTACTGTGTTCGAATGTTGAGGAAGACTATATTCAGCTTCCGTAGCCATTGTACCTACGGAGTGACCGCCTATGAAAATATTTCAAATCATGAAAATAATGTTTTCAGGGCCACGAATTATTTCTATAAAATAAAATACGTACTTTTTAAAAGAGTCTGATGACAGTTTAAAATTTCGATTCTCGGTTCCGTTGATCCTTCAAAAACTGATCTTTCTCTTAACCAAACAGCTTCTTTCCTCAAAAGACATTGTTGAGCATTAACTACTGTATTTCCTACCAGAAAAAAAAAAGTTTTATTTTTGCAAGAAACCAAAATCCGAAGATGCAATAATAATATTAATAATTGCATTTATTTACTTGACAATACAAATACAAATAAATTTTCAATAAATATGACATAAAAATTCTAATTCTAAACAATATTACAAGATATTATACTAACACAGTGGAGATAAAAAGGCCGCGACTCAGCTTTGTGAAGCTGAAACTATCGCTGTTATTCTGCCGCTGCCTGTAATCTTAATCTATAAACTTAAACCTAATAATACCTAAATTTAAAATTATGTGGCATAATCTACAGAACCCTTGCCTCCGCACTTTGCTGTTGAGGTATAATAAATAATAAAATATTTATAGTAGCATACCGGTTGAGCTCTGATTTTTTTGTTGTTTAGAATGACGTTTCTTAATGTAAACTATAACACCAACTCCAGCAAATATTAACACTAACAATGTTACACTGAGTGCTAAGAGCCAGGTTTCTTGGAACATCGATATTATTGCTTTGTCTGTGGCTGGTTCCGTTCTAAAACAAAATATTTTGTTCTGAGATGAAATTGTACGTAACTGGGTATAATGTTAAGGAACTATTCAAGTCACAACTTACTGCACGTAATGTCTCTGAGTTTGTGTAGGAACCATGTGAAAATGAGATAGCGGGCTGAAAGGTCCGTGACCTCGCTTGGTAACGGCTGCAGCTCTTGCGCTGTACCGACCTCCAGCACGCAAGGAACTAGCTGCTGCTGCCCTAGTTTTGGGACCTAGCGACATCTGTCCCACTACTCGACCTCCAGTGGATCCACCAACGCGAACTTCGATCTAAAGTAATCACAAATCATTTTAATGCCAAAAAAACAAGGAAACTCGATTATGGAAAAAACTTTACCAGATATCCGGAGATTTCTCCGTTCCACGCGTAAACAGGAGGTGCTTCCCATCTAATCCAAGCTGATGTCGCATTTATCACTCCCGCTGTAACACTTAGCGGAGGCTCCGAAGGAACTGCAAGCGAAACGTGAACATAAAATTTGAATTTAGGTCGCACTGAATTTATTACATTAGCACTCACCATCTTCCTCTGTAAAACCGGTACGCATGTTGGAAGGTTTTCCTAATAATAGTTTGTAGAACGGCATCAAAAACACATCGTATTGAGCGTAAGGTAATAGGCCTGTTAGTACATGACTAGACGAACCACTGTTGTGTACAGTTGTCATAGTAAAGTTTTCATATTTTCTAAAATCTGTCATATAATCAATAGTCGATTCGTTGGAATTATAGTCAAGTTCCAAGGCACTTCTGCTGTTTAATGAAGTCCCGTTGAACCAAATTTTAACACCTTCAAGATATTCGTTGTAATCTGTCATTACCTGAAACATTTTTTTTAAATAAAAATCTAGTTTGAAAATTCCAGATTAAATGATCGTAAATGCAGATTTACTTATGATAGTTGAAATTCACGAAAAAGCTTAGTCGTATACCAAAGGACTCTTTTCGGTGTAATAGCACTACAGTCGTTAGACCCATCTAGTGTTAAACGTTTACCAGGACCATTAAGACATGAGACAACTGCTCTACCTTTCAAGCGAGAAGTACTCTGTGATACCAAAAATAGCCAGGATCGCGGTATTTACTCATGCATGTCATAACCGGCCCTATTTCCACTTTCACAAAGATGCTGACCTCTACCGTTAATCGAATTCAGCTCCTGTATCAGTAGAATAGTATGTAGTAGAATTGTAATAAACTATAAAATTAGTAATAAGGACGGTGAGTATTCTAATTGTTTAAATATACGAAATGCACTTACATCCCATACAATTTTTAAAGTCGTAGCCGAAATACCCTCCACTCGTTTCAAAGATAATACATCCTGTTGTAAGTATCGTCGAGCCTGCACTAATTCATATTGAGTCATTGGTGGATAATTTAAGGGTTTACTCAATTCAGGATAGGGCGAGGATGAGTCTAAATCATCCTTAAAATTATTAGCTTCTCTCCTTAATACCTATTGAAGATAAAACAGAAATTCTGGCATATTACAAGTAAACAAACAAGAATTCCTAGTTATAATGATGACTTACCTGCAAAGTGGCAGTATGCAAAGCGCTCCCAGCAGAATTCACAGCGACGCAAGTAAGTCTTCCTGCATGTCTTATTGTGACTCGATCCAAATATAAATATCCGGAGCTGTGCGTTGATTTCGTAAAAACTAATTCCTATCGAAAATTTATTACTCAAAATTACTTCGATAAATTAAATGAATCGCTGTGTATAAGCGCTTCAAGAAAGCTCACTTACTTGAGACCCTTCCATTGTCCAAAAGACGACTGGTCTCGGGGAACCATCTGCTTCACAAGGGAATGATACCGCTTCTCCCTCCCACGCTGTTGTGTCTGAAGGTACTCGTGTAAAATGCGGTAAAGCTAAAACATTTTAAATATTTAGTCTTGTTTAACATTTAGAATGATTTCATTATAATTTCAAATTGTTTATTCGTGACAGTTGAACACATACAGTTTACAGTTAAAGATGCACTCGCAGAACTAGAGCCTGCTTGGCTTTCGGCTCTGCAAGTGTATGTCCCCGCATCGGTAGCAACAACGCGATCTATTCTTAGCGAACCTCTTCGAATTATCGCGTACGGAGACAACGAACCACTGTCTCGTGCCCAACTTACTGATACATCGGATTCTGGTGATGCCTAAAATAGAAAAATTTATATGGATGGATTGTTTGAATTAATTCTATCTATAATGGAAAGATAATGTAAACAAAAGATATCAAGTGTCTTACTTGACAGTGAAACTCAATGTTCTGGCCTATTAAAGCCGTTATGTTATTCGGTTTCACCAGAAAATGCGGTCTGCGTAAGACGAGAAGCGTAGCAGGATGAGATTGCCTTTCGCCTGCCACATTAGACGCTACACATCTATAAACACCACTGTCCGATGGTATTGTTTCCAGTATTTTTAAATCACCTCCATTCACTACTGATATTCTGTAAAGTACCAAGTTTTTTAGTGTCTGATTTTGCGTGTTAAATTATAATTATGTTTTATTAGTTCAATTACCTTCCATTGATTTCTACGTCTAAACTATGCCCATCTTTATTCCAATGTATAGACGGATCAGGCACCCCTTTCGGTGATGCGCATTGTAAAAGAGCAGGTTCGCCACTAGCTACTTTTACATCGTGAGGTTCGATCTTAAATTCATCGCGGAGTACTGCAAATTGAATACTGAATTTTAAAAGTTATTCATCAAAAAATGTTGCACCTGCATTTCAATAAGCCATTATCAATCTGTCAATTCATTTGTGTTTAATATAAACAAACTATAACAATTGTTATCTCGTCTTTTTTTACCCTAACTATGCTGATAGCCTTAAGAGGCTATTTCAGTTTCTCCTTGACGTGAAGGTGAGCTCACGGGGCTCAAACCTGGAGTGTTGCTAACACTGGCCTTAGCAAGAACAGTGCTTCGCAGAATCTACCACCGGATCGGAAACGCGACCCGCTGAGAAGATCCGGCGAGAAACTCAGTGGGCTTTATCTCGTCATAACAACGTCAGCGTTAAGAAACACTGAAAACCTAGCTAGATAGAAATACATAACCACTAAAGCTGCATAAGACTGTGACGAGATTAAGACAACGGTCAGCAGCGAGATATAAGCATTTTGAATTTGAAAGTAATAGAAATTTAATCAAGCATAATGGACCTACAATATGTTTGAAATAAAGACAAATTACCGGCAATAGTAAGCGTAGCGTTTTTGCTAACTGCTTCCCCGACGGGGTTGCGTGCGACGCACCAGTAGACGCCCTCGTCGCTTTCCTTCTTGCCTCGCATAACCCTAACACACGGAAAATAAGTTTAGGCCAAATTTAGATATTTTTAATTAAATTGTTTAGTAGCCGTTTAAATAAATATAATCATTTAAAATCATACATTCCAACAATACAAAAACGTATGGTTTTAATTTTTCTCGACATTTATTTCGAATTCTAATTGACCATAATGTATTTATTATATGCCGCCTCTTGCTGGAACAGACTTCTTTCAAGAATTAATATCAATTAAACTAGTGTAGAAGTCGAAAAAGCAAGAAAATAAAATTACACACGAATTCTTTTAAAGCAAAATGCTACACAAAATCGAATAATAAATCGTTTTAATAAATTCGGCTGCTAGATATTTTGATAAACTATGATATTATCTTTGTTCAGTGTCGGTTAAAGTTCGTCTATTACAAAATTTATTCATTTTATTCTTACCTAAGGAAGAGTAATCCGTCTTCAAGCAGCACTCTTTGTGGGTGGTCATTAGAAGTAAGAGGCGTGCCATCTTTATACCACTGTATTGTCGGTTTGGGTTTTCCTTCCGATACACACCGCAGAGTAGCGGGCTCGCTTCTACCGACTATTGTGTCGGCTGGATGTTCTTTTATACGCGGAGCCCGGCTTTGAGCTTTACCAAAGTGTTTATTAACAGAAAAATAAATCAATGAAAAACAATAAATCTGTATTAATATTTAATGCATTGAATCCGTAACGCAAATGAATAGAATTTTCTTTTATTTAAACGTATTAAAATTGTTTTTTTTTAAATTGATAAATGTTACTAAAATGTTTACAAAAGTGAATAAGTTCAACAGTAATTAAAAATTCATAATAATATTTCTAATATAGAATAAAAATTTCTACTCACATCTCGCGGTACAAGGTAAATTCAATAAAAAATACAACAGTACAATAAATTTCACTTGATTGCATATTTGTTTATTCTTATTCGAACCGGCGATCATACTTGACACTGACTCACGGACTCACTACATATTTTCCCTTCACCATAAAAAAAAAAACTGTTTATTTTTATTTCGTTCAATAGTTTATAAGGACATCGCGATGCATTTATAGAGCGACGCGACACAACCTCCACCTCCGATATCTTTGGGGTTACTAAACCCCCACTCTTTAATGACATTTCGCGCCGACTCAGTATAACATATGGTTTCGCCAACCCTAATGATAATGATTTTGAACAACAAGATTAAGTTAATGTTTACTTCAAAAAAAACTTTATAGTGCTAGAAGAAATTTGCTATTTGAAATTTTTACTTGCTTAAATTGACTGTTGTGGGCCATGCGATACTAATAGGTAATGAAAACTCATAATTAGCACAGTATTTATACAGGTGCACATATTACGCAAAATGTGCATATTGTTTCACATAATATTACGTCCTCCCCTGGCTGAATCCGTGCTCGCCCATCTATCCTGGTGAAACTGGAAAGGCATCCGGACTAGTAAGTAAGTGAATAAGTAAGATTAAAATATTGTGTTTTGCGTGTCGCGGTACTAATTAATTTGAACAAACACAAAAGTTTGTTTAAAATCAATAAATTTATAATTTCACTGCCGTTATTGCTTAGTTTAGTGGTTTGACTAGTGCGAGGCTGAGAACTCCCATTTTTCTAACAACATTAATGCCCAGTCGGGGGGCAACGGCTAGGCTCTGCCCCTGGCATTTCTGAAGTCCATGGGCGACGGTAACCACTTACCGTCAGGTGGGCCGTACGCTCATCAGCCTATTAGGGCAATAAAAAAGTAGCTTTTTCTAAAATCTAAAGATATGACCGACAGTTAAGTGTTTTAATTGATGTCACAATAATTTTTATTTCTGCCGCGTATAAAGGTTATACAATACAATGGACTCTTCACTATCGAAGGTGGATAGCGGAGTTCATATTGTGATACCTAAGAGTTCTGTTGACTTAACAACAGGGACCACCACCGCCGACTCATTAATGGCAACTTCGTTTACCTGTGTGTCTAATAAAAAAATACTGCAAATGAGATTTTGTTAGTTAATTGAAAAAAAGATAGAACAGAAGTACATTACGGGTAAAAAAAAATTAATACTTCCCAACCGAACTGCAAGATATAAAAAAAACAATACAAGTGTTCCATTTAAAAATATATAAATTGTGTTATAATTCTTTCTACCTACCAATAAATAAATATGACTTTTAAATGAATAATGTGCAATTATCTCGAGGCTCATAAACACTGCTACTATCAGTAAGAAAGTTTCCACGAATACATTTCGTCGTGTGAAATTTGTATATCTTATATTATATTTATTACATTTGTCAGAGTCACTACTAATTACGACAAATTTCTATTTATAATTCAATTTGAGTGCTAAATTATTATAATAAATAGAACAAACACCCGGATGTGATTTATTTATAGGATGATCTATTATATTGAAAGTGCGAGACATTTACTAGCTACAAAGGACTGGATTTCTTCGACGGTGTGTTTTCGGAAATATTTTCCGCCACTTACCATCTAGAATTGGAATGAATTTACCTCCTCGGTGTTTCCTGAGCGCTGGGACATAATATCTTTCTTTAGATAAGGTTTACAAAGAGCACTCGGTCGTAATCAGCGGCGTGGCTCTGCTCCGGCTCTGTTCTTTACTGATGGTAGGACCGCTTGTGAGTCCGCACGGGTAGGTACCATCGCCCTGCCTATTTCTGCCGTGCAGCAGTTATGCGTTTCGGTTTAAAGTGTGGGACAGCCGTTGTAACTATACTTGAGACATCTTCTCAAGGTGGGTAGCGCATTTACGTTACGTTGTAGATGTCTATGGGCTCCAGTAGCCACTTAAGACCAGGTGGGCTGTCAGCTCGTCCACCCATCTAAGCAATAAAAAAAAGTTGCTGACGTGTATGAGCGACGATAAGCACTCATTATCAATTGAGCTATTTACTCTTCTGTCTACATGGGCAAAAAAGAAAAAAAAAGAAATCACATTTTCAATTTGAATTTTAGAACATCCATTCGAACGCATAACTGCGTCGCGACATAAACAATCAGGATGGTCGTGCCTATACGGTATTACAAAATACCCAAACTCCAATATTCCACTCTCGCTGTAATTAACAATCCCAGCTACACAGTAATCGGAGATATATAATTAAATAAATGAACTGCACATATGTACATCCGTGAACGCATATTGGGTTTATTTCAGCTAGCATTCTGTACACGTATCTCAACGTGTCAATTGTGACGGGGAGAAGTGTCAGTCACGTATTTACTTACCTAACTGTTTTGCAGTAACACCACCGAACTATCCTGATTCGAGGCTAGATAAGTACAATAGGAATATATAATAAGCTTAATGGAATTTTACTGAATTTTTACTATACGAATTTGTAAGACATTGCTTGCGTATATGCAAAACGAACTGTTTAATAAAAAAGAGTGCGTGTACTTATGTACGCGCGTAAGTAGTTATAATTTATTTTTATTAAATTTATTTCTTTTTTTTTTATTTAAATTTTAATCAATTTGAAAAAAAATCGATTAGACAACATTCTCAAACACGCCTATTGGACATCCCTTTTCTTGACATCGTATTAATTCGGCAATTCTCGGTACGGTTCGGAAAGTTCACCTGCGGCTATATTCAGACTCGCCAAGCTACGTCGGTCGTATTGTAATGAGCGATTTAGTGGGCAACTTCATTCTGTTAATGTTGTGTCACGGTGCGCGCGCATCGTAAAATTTCACTCTTATAAATTTTTCATAACGCGCCTAAAGAAGTATAACTTCAAAATATCTGAAGCGATTTGGTATTTCAATTATTAAATTAATTTACCTTTTATCTCTTAACTCGAATATACGTAACTTAGTCGTATTTCGAATTGTAAATATTTTAAGTGTAATTAGAAGATATATTGGCATTTTTAATTATATATATGTCAATTTGTGCAACGAATTTGAAATTCTTATGAATTCGGAGTTCGATAATCACTTAACATCATCTAGGTAATTTACTTTTACACTCAACACAGCTAGTAAAAATTATTTTAGATAACTACCATCACCTCCAATCAAACTTGTAAAGTAACTCTGTAAAAATTGAGAATATACCTTGATAATTAGCAGAAACAGTATACAAATAATAAAAACTTAGAATAAGGCATACAAAAACATTATTGAGTGAATCTCTTATTTTAAAAAAACTCTTATTAAAGGAAAATTGTTCATCATTACCATGAAAATATATTGTAATAATGACGATGGAATTACATTTCTGCTATTTGTAAATTGTTATAGTATTTTAACGTAATTTTAAATATTATATTTTAGGTTTCAATTAACTATCACTAGATGATGACCGAGCATTGCTCGGTTTCTTTTTTGATAACGCCATCTTGTTGTGTCCTTAAAGCGGCTAGTTGCCCTCAATTAAAAAAAATAGTATTATTATTCGCCAATAGATGTCGGGAAGAGTTGATTATTGAAAACACGAATAAAACAACATTTTCTGAAAATAAATCGTAGCTAGATCGATTTATCGCCTCCGAAATCCCCTGTATACTAAATTTTATGAAAGTCGTTGGAGCCGTTTCCGAGATTCAGATTATATACATATATATTAATATACAAGAATTGCTCGTTTAAATGTATAAGATCTTAATATTGAAACGAAAACAATTTGTAATACAACACAGCCATGAAATTCACATGCTCTTCGTTTCGGCGATATATCTGAGATGATCCTCCGCTAAGACGAGCGCCGTGTAATCTTCGGAACAAAGGAGGCATCCTTAATTAACTCTATACTGATAAAGTATTCACTGAACGTATTCAATGCCTACATTAACAAAGCTTAATATCTATTTAAAGCCAAGCATAAAATGAAATTGCGAATAATCTATCTATATAATATATTTAAAAATGAATTGCTGCTCGTTAGTCTCGCTAAAACTCGAAAACGGCTGGACCGATTTGGCTAATTTTGGTCTTGAATTATTCGTGGAAGTCCAGAGAAGGTTTAAAAGGTAGATAAATATGAAAATGCTCGAAATTTAATAAAAATAATAATTTTGTTTTTCCTTTGATGTGTCCCCCATCGGACGGATAAAGCTTAGGTCTTTTATTTATCGATTGAGGCACTACGAAGTCTGCCGGGTCAGCTAGTTTCTAAATAAATTCGTTTAGTCTACTAATGATTCGTTGTTCCATAATGGCATTCACGTAAGAGACCTTAACGTAATATGAAATTTTATACAGTCGAATATAAGTTAAGTAATGATTTGTATCTATATCTGATTTGCTGTTGTCTCTTACAAACTCTTTTGAGGAAGATTTGAAGGAGCGAGACAGCAATATCACTAGGAAAATCAGATATTAACCAATAAATGAAACGAAAATAGGAAACGGAATCTTCGTAGGCTATCTCCAGTTGCACCACGTCGGTCGTAAACTAAAGCACTTCCTTGCCTCCCCGTTGCGTGAAACGACCAGGTCTTGGCATTCGGCTCGCGTAGTTCGGACCGTGAGTCCCGTGTCAGGTGAGGCGGGCAACGATACAGATCATCGGCACGTGCAACTTGTATCTGATCGAACGAGATAAAAGCGCCGACACTGACATTTAAAATGAGCTTGCGACAAACGTTTAAGAAAGCTATAAAAATGAATTCGAATCTGAAGATTTGTTTTTGTTCTGTTTTATAAATAGAATAGAATGACGTATTTAATGTGAAAGAGGTATAGAAAATAGCGTAAATTTAAAGTATGCTGATTCTTCATTGCAAAGTCGTCCTCTACTTAACATGTGGCCGGTTGCTGGCAAATAATTAGCACTAATTTCCAATGGGACCTGCGGCAGCGACACCAACACACTGTACTTCGATGAAACGAAGAATACATCCATACTTAATATTTTAAAGCTGAAGAGTTTGTTTGTTTGAACGCGCTAATCTCAGGAACTACTGGGCCGAT